TGGATTGAAATCAAGTCCATGAGTGAATGTTCGGGAATGAACGCCGCTTCGGATATTGTACAAAAAACGCACTTGATAGGAGCTTAGGCTACTTCGTAGGAGTTTAGGCACACAAAACACTTACCCTCTGTTGCTCGACAGAAGTTGTGGCATCCCACCTGCTCACTCTTTTGCTTGATGAGGATGCTCAGCACACCTGTCTCCTGAAAATAGGAGGAAAATGCATCGCAGTAGAGATAAATCAGCTCAAAATTGTAAAAAGATAAGAACCATAAGCTGGTGTGCGGGATCCAGCAGCCGGGGTCCGGGGACGATCACTAGGAGTAGTAGAACGATGCTAAAAGGGAGCAACATATAAATGCAAAAAAAACCTTGCGAGAGAATTACGTTGAACAATTAGATCTACACCACTTTCGTCAGGCAATTTAGAAGAAACGGCGTGCAACCACAAATTCAGCCAAGTTCATTACATTGCAATCTGCTAGTTAGGAGGCTATGAACCAAACCTTTTGACGAAAAGAAAAAAGAGAAGGATAAAATAAATTGTGAGATCTTGACAGAAAGCAAAGTACCTGCGATGGTGAACGTCGAAATGGAGTTGGACTGCGAGAGGTCTGAAACCAATTCATACTAAAGAGGCGATAACATCGTAAGCCGTAGAACTGCATACCCTCCGACGGCTGACGGGTGGTGGTGATGGATTCTCTTCAAGCAACGCATCCTGCCGACTTCTTCTAGTTGGAACTCGCACCGTGGACGCCACACGAGGCTTGTTGACATCTGAAAAACTTCAAGAGTATAGCTAATTGTAAAACAAGAACGAAAACAGCGGAAGCATACTGGAACAAGATTCAATATGACTGACATGCATCTACAAAAATAAACCCTCACAATTATGTGGAGCAATCAGTAATGAATGTAAGGTTTGTTTGACAAGATTAGCTCCATCACCATCCGGCTCGATCAAAACAGCTGACCGTGAAAAATGCAGGATGCAAGCAAGAATTTCTCTTCCTTGCAATGGGTATCTCTTGAGGCACATTCCACGATAACAGAATATGGGTAATGGAATTCAAATAACGAAAAAAAAAGGAGACAGCCCTTAAAAGGAA